ACAACGTACGGCACAAGCTATCAGCGGTCTTCTCTTTTGTGCGGACCTTTGTGAGAACAGTATAACATCGAACTGGATCTAAATTTAAGCGATTATTTCTTCACTTCAGAAGCCTAAAACCTGATCCACCGCGAAATGTGGCCAATTCCGGCATTTGTTTTGATACCACGAATCACGATGGATGCCGCCTACTTTTCGAAGGCAATACCTAGCTATTTGTTGAAGTTATCATGGATTACACCAATTTGGTTATTAGAAAAATTCTGAAGTGAGCCATGAAGCCGGGCTGCAAAGCGGGTAAGCTGTATTTATGACGAAATCTGCTCCAGTGGTTCGATTTTGGTGTAGGCGAAAAAATCGCGAATGCTCGTACATGTGCTGATTAAAACGGTCATAACTTTTGAAAAATCGAAAACGTACAAGGGTTTTTGCATATTTTTGCCTATAAAGGTCTAAACTTAACGGCTGTGTAGGATAGAATCGTCAACCAGGTCCCAAATCCCAAAACTTAGCGTCTAAATCAAGGTTATTTACGGCCATCGGCCGATGGCGATTTCTAGTGGTCAGAATATGCTAAAATTCGCCTTTTCAAATTTGTTGAGAGGGCAAATTCTAACTTTCTTGGCAAACTAGAAAGGTTTTTAAGCAATCTGATATAAATTCTGTGGCTTAACTATGCGAATCAAATATCTTACAACGTTACAAAATATGCCTATTTTTCAATTTTCGAGACGTTGCGACGGTCCCTACGGACTGGGAAATAATTATGGCCCGTAATGCAGTCGGAAAATTATTTCGAATCAAACCAAATCTAATTTAGTTCTTTCTTAGGTAAAGTATTTCTGTTAACAGAGTTTCAGGCAAAATTATTTTTGACGCAAAATTGACCGGGTGGAAATAAGAGAGACAGCCTCTTAAGTATTCTTTTGTAACATAGCCAGAGATCTTGCGATATCCACTGTTCACGCCTTTTTTTCTTTTCAAAGAGGCATCAGAATTATTTTCATGTCAAATTTGCAGTAAACTGCTTGCGTGTCATCCTTTGTTTTCAAGGTGTCTGACCAAGTATGACTGAAAATGGCAACTCGCTTTGATAGGAGTCCTATTGTTGTTGCTTCTTACTTCCTGAAATTATCACTTGAAATTCGCTCGGTAATATATAAAAAAAAAACCAAAAAAAAAAACAGAGCGAGTAATACATATTTATTCAAATTCTATCATCACATAAAAAGTTGTAGGACCCGATAGCATATTAGGGACGGACCATTAGACTTTTGATGCGGGGGGGGGGGGGGTGTTGGGTGTTGGGTGTTGGGTGTTGGGTGTTGGGTGTTGGGTGTTGGGTGTTGGGTGTTGGGTGTTGGGTGTTGGGTGTTGGGTGTTGGGTGTTGGGTGTTGGGTGTTGGGTGTTGGGTGTTGGGTGTTGGGTGTTGGGTGTTGGGTGTTGGAGGACCTAGGAGTACAGAAGTTCTCGTTAAAACGTGTACGTGTATGTACAATTAGAAATAAAGCATAATTTCTGTAAGAATACAAATAGTAAGTAAATCTATTAAAAAGCTAAAAACAGGATCGAGAATCATGGACAAGAGCTATCAATTAGAAGTTACAATATTAACAATATTAACAACAATAACGATATTTACAATCACTACCATTAAGCCATGTGGGCTTTAAGAGAACGCTTAAATGAAGCAATATCTTGAGATTCTCTGAGTCTAGGGGGTAGCGCATTCCAAAGTTTACTAGCTAAAAATGAAAAAGACCGATGTAAAAACTCAAGATTAAAAGGAGGTAAATCTAGCCTTGTACTGAGCCCGCGTAAACTATACGGTACATTTCTAAAATGAAAAAAATCACTTATATAAGGAGCCCCCTTATCATACAAGCACTTATATAACATAACCAACGATTGGAATTGCCTACGATTCTCCAAAGACTTAATGTCGGCTAACTTGAGGAGGAAGTCGTATGACACAGACTTCGAGAAGCCTAATATAGTTCTTAATATAAAGTAATTAGTTGTCTCTATTTTAGTAGTCTCCGCGTTACCTACTCCCAGTAAAAGGGGACTGCAGTACTCAAGATGAGGGAGGACATAGGCCTTATATAAACGAACTAACACGTCCTTTGAAATAAACTTACGTATTCTCCGCAAAGCCGAAGCCTTTGCGCATCCCTTATTCAGCTGTTGCTTTATGTGCGCTTTAAATGTTAATTTGCTATCTAGGACCACCCCAAGGATTTTGAGTGTGTCCTTTGTATGGACATTAGAATCATTAAGATGGAAATCATATTGGTATGAAGACGGGCCAATAGCGATAGCTTGCGTTTTGGCGGCATTAATCTGTAAAAAATTCATTGAGAACCATCTCGATAGAACGCTCAGATCAGAGTTAATTATATACTGCAATACTGTTGGTGAGACATCAGAGGCGTAATGAGTAGTGTCGTCAGCATATAGCCTCAAGGACGTACTAGTAATAAAATAATTAAGATCATTAACATACAAATTAAATAGGAGAGGACCCAACAGGGACCCCTGTGGTACACCAGTTTTAACGGTTCTCCATGAAGAATATACACCGTCAAGTTTGACTCTCTGTCTTCGTCCAGTAAGGTAAGCGGTCATAGTTTCCAGCGCATCATGCGTAAAACCATATGCCTTTAATTTAGCTAGGAGAAGCGGGTGACAAACAGAGTCAAAAGCTTTACTTAGGTCGATAGCCACCGCTGCAACAGCTTCTCTTCTGTCAAGACAGGCTCTCCAATCTTCAGTCAATTTCAATAAGGCCGTGCAACACGAGTGACCCTTGAGAAAGCCAGACAGGTTCGGTGAGAGTCGCCAATGAAAGGCTTCATAGATTTGATCGAACAATACCTTCTCATATAATTTCGATAAGGAAGTCAGAACAGAGACTGGACGATAGCAGGTCTTATCTGTCATACTTTCCTTCTTGAAAACAGGAACAACGTCGCTGCTTTTCCAAACTATTGGCCATTGACGGTTGGTGATAAAATAATTGATTAATCGGGTAACCGGCTCGGCAATAACAGGTGAGGATAAACGAAGTAGCCTCTGAGATATCTTATCGCACCCAACAGCCTTGCGAGGGTCAAGAGAATCCAAAATTTTCCTTATGTAGCCAACATCAACTGGGACGAGGTCAAAAACATCATCACAAGTTTTCTCAGCAATGACTTTAACGCTAGGATGATCAACAAACTCAACCATTTCCTTACTGTCACCATCACTCCTGGACACCTCGCAAAAGTAGTTGTTAAACATTTCAGCCACCATTAATGAATCGGTAATTACACGCTCATTCTCAATCAGAATTATCTTTGATTGCTTCTTTTCTTTGCTTGGCAACAAAGGTCTTAACTTATTCCAAAACTCACCATGATGTTTAGTGTTTGACGATGCCTCCATGCAGAACGCCTTCAACCCTTTTCGTTTCAGGGATGTGACCTTGTTTCTCTGTTTCTTGAATTCCTCCCAAGAGGTTGTTGTTGGGCTCTTTGCATGTTTCTTAAACAGTCGATTACGACGCGAGATTTCGCGTTGAACTAATGGAGTTATCCATGGCAACTGATCACCTCTGACCCGTTTTTTCTTTATTGGTGCGTGTTTGTCCAACACTTCAGTGTACAATTGAGCCCAATGGTGCCATAGATCATCAACGTCGTCATAAATGTAAGCGGAACTCCAGGGAATAGTTTTTAGGTCATTTAAAAATTTTTCTAAGTCGAATTGTCGCATACTTCTGTATTCAATTTCACGTGCCTTAGCCCTAGGTAATTTATTCTTTCGCACCGCATAGATAAGATCGTGATCACTGAGACCCATATGCAAATTACCACAAGTTGCATATCGTTCCGGATGGCTAGCGAGAATGACATCGAGTAAAGACTTTGTTTTTTCAGTCACCCTTGTCGGTTCACTAATTTGGTTTTGCAAACAGAACCTATCACAAAGGTCCATGAGTGAGTTATCCTCAGCAACAACACCGTGCTCCCCAACAAGCAAGTCGATATTAAAATCACCAATCAATAATATTTCCTGACGGCTTGTATACATAAGTTCAATAGCTGATGTAAGCGACGACAAGAAATCAGTAATTTTACAGAATTTAGGTGATCTGTAGCACGCACACACAATAAAGCGAGCCTTTTTAGAATCCATGACATCAAGACATAATGATTCGACTGATTCGGGCTCCAGATTACGTCGTCGACAGACAGGAATATCTTCCCGTACAAAAGCTATCAAGCCACCAGCTCCTTTCTTGCGATCACGTCGAATAGTGCGATATCCCGGTTGTTGGAGAAAACTATCTGAGGTTGTACCATCGAGTTTTGTCTCCGAAATAAAGAAAATGTCAAATAGGCACTTGTTAAGAATATTCTTGACCTCGTCAAGCTTATTTTGTAAAGAGTTGATGTTCAAATGACCTATTTTCAGATTGGATTTGTAGTAACCATTGACGTTCCTAAAAAACCAGTCAACAGAGTCTCCTGAATGTTCCTCCGCAATCTCAAAGACCTCGCCAGTGAAGCTTGAATCGCATACCGCCGAAGGTGAGAGATCATCAAAGAAGCTGTCAGAAAACTGAGGCATCGTACAAGAAAAGCAATACCAGATCCCTTCTCTCCGATAGCAGGACAGCTCGTTCTTGCTCATTTTCGTACATTTGATGTGGAATACTGCCGGGCAAGACGAGCAGCGGACGCCATTTTGGTTCCTTCTCATGGTTTTAGCGCAATTACTACAAAGTGTTTTAGAAGAATTATTAAAACTTCCTTGAGGCCCCTGAGGGCCGGGATTAGACTCCACGTTTCCAGATAGCTTCAACAGTAATAGCTGAGTCGTAGCAGTACTGTTACTATAGTACAAAGCACGCCGTCCGAGGTATGCCTTCTTGCTTCTTCGCATGTAATTTTGACGATGCAGACATGAGCTCAAAGAACCAAAGAACTGAAGCTGGGTAGAAACATTACCCATGTCCTTAGGTCCAGCACATATATATTTGGTGGGAGATAAGTATGCGAGACCAGGACCGAATACTCCAAGAGTGAAAAGAGCGAAAAGTAGCAGCGCATACCAACGCGTGTAAGTCGCCATCTTTCTTCAACGGTATCTGGTCGCCATTTTTTTTCTTTGCTCATATTAATTTAGGTAAGGTTTTCCTTGACAACTGCACTTATCACGGAAACCTTCCTAGTATAACGGCAGTTTTACTTACGAAGTTTACATACATTTCAGGTCGGTATCGTCGGTCGCACAGGTGCAGGCAAGTCAACTCTTACTTTAGCCTTGTTTCGTATTCTTGAGAGGGCCGGTGGACGAATTGTTATCGATGGTGTGGATATCGCCAAGATTGGTCTTCAGGATCTGCGGTCACGGCTTACTATCATTCCACAGGTAGACTAAAATACTTGGGCACTACATAAGTTTGCATCGCGAACATATAGATTGGTGAACCTATGTCACTGTGTTCACGGAAGTATAGAATGACAAGCTATTAATGGTTTTGATATCACTGATGAAATTCTTTTTTTTAGAAAACGTATTGTAATTGTACATAGAATTTAGTTATGGTTGTATCACCATTTTTTTTTTTTTTGCGATGTAGGATCCCGTGTTGTTTTCTGGAACGCTACGTGTCAATTTGGATCCGTTTGACAGTCACACGGACGAGGAGCTTTGGAAGATTCTAGAGATGAGTCATTTGAAGAACTTTGTGTCAGGACTGGAAGAAGGTCTTTTACATCCCGTGACTGAAGGAGGCGAAAATTTAAGGTAATAAGTTTGGAATGATGAAGGGCTAACGCTCGAAACGTCAGCTTTGGAATTCTTTACGGCGGCCAATTTACGTTTTCAACTCAGTTGATAATACTAAATTACCCTTATATACTCTCCCACCGACGCAGCACTACAATTTCTTTAGAAACCTACCCCCTTTATCCATATTTTCTCACCCTGTTTTAAGTGCTTATCAATTAAGAAATAGCCCATTTGCAAGATGCTCAAATCCACTGCTTTAAAACGAGATAAAGTTTAAAGTCTTTGATGAGAAAATGACTTTTATATTTGTATGTACATAAAACTTACTGCGTCTGAAAAGTCTTGCACTCGTCTTCATTTTGAATGTTAGGATTTTTCGGACCAGTTTTACTGAATATCCAAAGATAATCGGTCATTTTTGTCATTCTTTCAGTGTTGGTCAGCGGCAATTGGTGTGCTTAGCGCGTGCGCTGCTCCGTAAAAGTAAGATCCTGGTTCTAGACGAAGCCACGGCCGCAGTGGACCTGGAAACTGATGAACTCATCCAGCACACGATACGGCGAGAGTTCGCTGACCGCACTGTGTTCACCATTGCTCACAGGCTCAACACTATAATGGACTATACAAGGTAAAGCATTCCTTAGTTAATACTTCTCTTTGCACTCGTTACATGTCTCCTCACATGTTGATGCAGTAAGGATAAAGCTTTTCCCAGCGGTGATACAATGAAGGGGGAAGTTGAGTTCCAGTCTAGAAAGAATTCCTCTTTTGCTTAATATTTGTACAGTACTGAATGGAAACTTAACTGAATTCTCATTACGTGGCCGTGGCACTTTTGGTTTCCTTCTGTGAAGGTTATACTCAGCCGGAATTGTGAATAGTCAAGTCGCATATCTTTTGGGTGAAATGAGTGAACTCTAATTCATGTGCTATTAGCAACTGCGAACCTACCCCTCCCTTAACCCAACAACAGTCAACCGATAACAAGTTTGGGTTAATATTGGGTTAGGGGAGGGGTAGGTGCATAGTTGCTCAGATTCTGACTTTGATCCCTTTTTTTCCTCAAGAGGAGGAAGTCTCGGAGTGAACAGAACTTTGCACTGAGTGATATGTGAGTCTATTGTTGTTGTTTTTTTCAGGATCATGGTGCTGGACAAAGGTTTCATGATGGAGTTTGACACTCCACAGGCTCTTTTGGCTCAACAGGGAATCTTCTACAAAATGGCTCGTGACGCTGGACTAGCTTGAGAAGCTAGGCACCTCATGACGGCATCACAAAGCGAAAGTGCCTCTGAAGGAAATCGGGAAGAGTGGCTACGTAGGCATTACTTTTGAGCTGATGCACGATGCGCTTATGTTATCACTGACCTATCGGAAAGGATATTTTAACAGTATTAGCGTAAAAAGAAAAGGGAATGATATCTGCGATTTGGGTCCTAGCAGACAACTTGGCGTGAATTGTGTGGTGTTGGGCTGATCTCGATTAAGGGAATGTTTATTTGGCGATTACAAGTAATTGTTTTGCGTCCGTGCTCTTGAATTGCCTTCTCCATGATATTCTTATCCACGACAAAAAATTCATTTGGAAAATTATCCTTCCCCTTTTCACTTCATCTATGTCTTTCCCGCTCCCCAGCCCCCCTTTTCCTCTCCTCAACCCCCATATATTGGTTTCAGGATTTTCTTGGCAGGATTTGTTGTCCCTCTCTCTCCTCATCCAGTCCAGGCTTTAAGAAGTGTTCTATGTTGTCTACTTTTGGCCGAGCGTGGCGTTGTAAGGAGTCCTTAAGTGACAACAGAGTCAGTGTCAAACACAGTATATTTATTAATGAAAAACTGTATTCAAACAACCAGAGAACATTACTTTTTAAATCTAATCTTAATATGACACGTTTTAAAAATAACGTGGTCATCCTCATGACGTGATGTAAACAGATATGGTGTACATTCCATAACATTTCTATCTCTCCAAGGCTTTCTTCATCACAGTATTTTAAACTAGGAATTAAACTTAAGTATTATATTTACAGAATCTGGTTTTTTACTAATGGCTATGGACCAATAACAAGGAACATAGTTTTTGGTCTGTTTTTGTAAATATAACAGATTTAACAAATGCCAACGAATTGATTATCTGTAAAGCTACCAAGATTCTCATGATCTTTACTCGTGAGAACATTGTGAGGAGAAATGTGATACAATCAATCTTGGAGTCTAAAGTGTTAACCATTATATAACGAGATGTATATTATAACAATTAATGATATTGCAAAGGGCTTCACAAAAACGCATGATGGCACCACCACCTAAGTGATATATACCCAGACAACAGTATATTATATCTAATAATGTACGTGAAAAAATTACACGCTTCTGATCGACTGAAAACGAGTGCATTCTCGTGTAACACGAGTGCAAAGTTGTAACACAAGTGCAAATTACAAATAGCACGCGCACGCTTTCAAAATTTAGTCTGTCTCGACTTTCTGTGATGTTTTTTTCATGTACATTATTAACAAGAGATTACATGATTTCTTTTGCAATGTGGTGAAATAAGCACTTGTAAATATTTCCAAGATAACAAATTGCACTTGCTCTACGGGCTTGTGGAATTTTCGTGTCTTTAAAAAATTTACTCTTGCATGTTAACACCAAATTGCAATTGAAATCATACTGTTTTCTATACTAATATTAATGCGATTATTGTCAGATAATTTCTAAGACAGAAAAAAACCTTAAGGCTGACAGAGCGAATGACGAACGCTCGGAACGTCAGCTTTGAGACTCTACTGTAGCCCATTTGCATCATCAACTCAGTTGATAAAACCAAATTACCTTGTTTTTTTAGCCATTAACTGGTATCTTTAAGGACTACATGACTACAAGCTCAATGCAGTCTTCATTTACTAAATTCACTTCGTCGATGTTTGCATTTCTGTCCCTCTGTCCTCGAGTTGTCATAGAAGTTCTACTGATGAATTTTTCCACAATTTTTGGAACCTTTTCCTTCCTAACCCTTTCTCGCAATTTTTTCTGCCATCTTCCATCGATGTAGATGGCGACGATCTTGGGAAACGCTAAAGTGAGAAACGTTAACAAAGTTTTCATCAACGGTGTTGTGTCAAAGCTGAACATCGCAGCCCAGGAAAACACAGAAAACACAAGCACTGAGATCTTCAAAATCAGTAGGCAGACACCTTCTCTGAGAGGCAAAAGTTTTTCACATGCCATTTCGAAGAGCTCTTTTGGAATTGCTATCACGTTGTCGAGATCGTGCGTATTGTTAGGTAGTTTTGGCAGCTGATCAGAGCTGGAAGGAACATCTTGAGATTGGGTACGTTTTGAGTCCTTGTGGCAATCGTATAAAGTCAGGGCAAGCTCGTGGTATGTTTTCGTGAAAGAGCTGTAGCTTGACCAAATGTAATACAAAATAAAAACAGGACAAGCCAAGTATGGAACATGTTCCTCTGAGAAAGAGAGTTGTAGAACACCTACCAAAGTATTCAGAGCACCATAAGCTGCTGATAGCAAAAGGTCAAAGGCACGATACCATGAAACGCACGAGAGGGCACGGTGTGTGACATCAGAGAGAATGAATGATGAAAGCGATATTTTTGAATTTAAATTACTCGGTCTGTCCAAGTGATCCTTGCATAACGTAATTGCAGGAGCAGTGAAGATAATGCCTATGAAAGATGATAAACTTCCAAAAATCAATAACGCTGCTGCCACAACGGGTATACAGAGCAACAAAGAGATAAATAGTACAAGACGAATCACAAAACCTAAAGAGCATCTGCGGGAAGGAATCACCGTGACGGACTTTTTGAGATAATTTAGGAAACTCCGTTTGCAAAACCTCCAACATTCTACCAAGATCAAAGGCTGGAGGCGCAAATGGTTTATAATTAGTTGAGGAAGTTCATCTTGACAGGAAAGGATTGCTGGTCTAAGAAACTTACAAAGGAAACAAGGCTTTGAGTTCAATGACCTTTTGGAGAAAAATGATATGTAAAAAGCCTGAAAACAATAACAAAAACCAAACAATATTACGAAGAGCCTATTGCTTAATAGGGTATTGCAAGGAGCACTATGTTCAAAATCCGCAAGGACGGTTGCACTAATCAGAAATGGAAGAGGTATAATAAAAGCTCTCAAAATGAATGTTTTTGCCTTGCACCAAATTCCCTCTCTCCTAGAAAAGAAATAATTTCCCGCAAGGCCTCGGAGACTAACGGGACTTGCTCCCTCAAGAATGATATGAGTAACGCCATCTTGCAAGATTTCCGTCGGGCAGAACAGACAAAGAAAGGCCGGAGAGTAATATATGAACACTCCGATAAATACAAAGGAGAAGAAATCCAACACCGTCTTTGGCCATCCCCTGAGCTTTACAGCTCCTTGAAGTCCTTCAGTGCTGTTCGTCCTGTCTGGTATGGTAAAATTCATGCATAGCCCAAGAGGATCTGTTTTCACAGCATGATAATCGATGCTTTCAAAGTCAGCTTCGAAATTAATAAGCTCACAAATGGCGAAAGAACGGTTGCTGTAATCCACAGGGCTTGAAACAGTCGTTCTCGCTGGTTTCAAAGTACAAATGGCACGTATTTCTCTGTGTTCTTTGTGAAGAAATGGATTTATCGCGCTTTTATTCGGTGTCATTGAGTTAAAGAGTCGTTTGTTCACCAAACAGACTGAACAATGTTCTGAAGAGGATTCGCTTGAGTTAACAGACTTCTGGTTCGTGCATTTGTCATCTATTTGCTTCTCGTACCTTACAATAAGCTTGATTAATTTGTTGTTGATCGTCGTTGAATTCGCCATTTCTCGTTTAAGCACCGTTAGATCAGCCACGTGGGCAAAACAATTCCACTTACATCGTATTTTACTGCCGGGGCTGGCACGGTAGCTAAACGAGTTGTCCACGACGCGACCCAGAGCAACTATCAAAACCACAAAACGAATTTGAAAAGTTGATAGCATCCTCAAGGATTGATAGATGTCCACAACTGTCTAAATGAGACTATTTTGTTCTACTTCACACAAAAGCCGCGTTGATTTGCAAGGTTTGCAATGACTGCACAAGCGGATGAATTCGCCGAGTAAGCACAATTTTTGCTCAATTGCTTTTTAATAAATGTTCACGCGATAGAAATTGAAACTGAAAGTCAAGTACGTGTAAATAATTTGTGTCCGGGAGTTAGATTGGAATTGTTGCGAGATTTACTGACGCTTGTAACACACAATTTGCCACTATCTCCGTAGCCTTTTCCAGGCGTTCAGTTAGTGGAACACTGTTAAACGGAGCGCTGTAGTAAAATTGAAAGCAATATAGTCTTGGTAAAGCGAAAAAAAAGCGAGAAGCTTGGATGGGGGCGAAAATGGAGGTAGGTCAGGGCCATAGCCAGACTTCAGAACAAGACGAGGCAAGTTCTGGCGCGGAAGGCGCGAGCCGCTAAGGGGGGCCTAGGGGCATGCCCTTCCCCCCCCCCCCCCAAGAAAATTTTGAAATCTGGAGGCTCAGAAACGCTCTATTAAGCATTTCCAGTGGCATTTTTCTTCAGAAAAGTCAATCTTGGACCAAAATCAAGACGAGGCAATTATGCTAGCTAAGGCCCAGTAGGTTTGAATTGTACGCAATTCTTTAATATCGCTCTCCGTTTTACTGACTGGAAGACCGGAGCAGGCTACCACCTTAGAGTTTGGTTTGATATTCTTATCCATCAAGTGTAAGTTTTGCAAAGGAATCATCAAAAACAATCTTTGACCTTCTGTTTTCCAGCTGCATAATTCTAAAAAAATTTCGAGTTGTCACCTTTGTTTACCGTCACAACAAAGGGCTGACTACAAAGCAATTCCGACATATTTCGGGCCGGTTTGGCGGGTACTAATTTGCTGACGGGCTGGTTGTTCATTCGATTCAAATCGCAATAGAAGGGAAAGTTAATCCTCGAAGTTGGACCATGTGATTCATAGAGTCGGTGAGTGCAATTGCTATTCCACTGGTGCCTCACGCTTCGCTGATTCAACTTGTGGTAATCAGCATACATGCATGATCATTACCTTCATTGTTATTAAACATTACTTGCTTGAGTTATCTTGGTGTTGTTATTAAACTCTGAGTCATGAAATCTTCATAAGCGATTCCCAGTTGAACAAATTAGGTAACAGCTGATTTTGCAAATTTTTGTAAGTGCTTTGTTTTCCGGCCGTAAGAAATCTTATCGCAAAATTTTGTGCAAAATTGGATACAAGAGAAGCTATTCATAAGTGAACATTTTGAAAATCAAGCTATCAGTCCCTTTTGCATGTGTCATTTGAAGAACTTTGCGTCAGGACTGGAAGAGAGTCTTTTACATCCCGTGACTGAAGGAGGCGAAAATTTAAGGTTATAAGTTTGGAACTTAAGTTTCGTTAACTGACAGATTCGAATAGCGTCCGAAATTCTGAGGGGGAATTATCTCTTACCTTAAGAGAATCGGTGTGTCTTTGCCTTTTTGGCTGAATCTCAAGACTACGAGTAATGTCATTTTTCTCAGCCTGTTTTCAGTGTTGGTCAGCCAAGAAATAGCCAATTTCCGAGATGCTGTCGGAAAGGATATTTTGGCAGTATTAGCTAGGAAATAAAGAAAAAGGGAATGATATCAGTTATTTTAGTCGTAGCAGACAACTTGGTGTGAACTGTGCGGTGTTGAGCTGATCTCGATTCGCTAACAGTGTGTATAGTTGTTAATTAGAACCAATTATTTTGCATCTGTGCTCTTGAATTACCTTCTCCTTGAAATTCTAATCTACGACCAAAAATGCATTTGGAAAATTATCCTTCCCCTTTTCATTTCATTAACCCCTTTCCCCCTCCCCTCCTCCCTTCATTTACCACTTCACCCTACCCCCTGTCCCCATTTTCCTCCTCTTCACCCCCTAATATTGGTTTCAGCTTTTTATTGGCAGGGTTTATTGTCAGACACAACCCTCTCTCTCTCCGCTTCCAGTCCAGGCTTTTACAAGTGTTTTATGTTGTCTTTTTTTGGCCGGGCATGTTGTTATAAGGAGTCCTTAAGTGACAGCAGAGTTAGTGTCAAACACAAAGTATATTTTTTAATGAAAAACTGTATTCAAACAACCAGAGAACATTACTTTTTAAATCTAATCTTAATATGACACGTTTTAAAAATAACGTGGTCATCTTCATGACGTAAACAAAGACGGTTTACATTCCTTAACAGTTCTATCCCTCTAAGGCTTTCTTCAGCACAGTGTTTTAAACTAGGAATTAAACTTAAGTGCACTATTTACAGAATGCGGTTTTTACTAATGGATATGGAACTAGTAACAGAATATAATGTAAAACGAACACAACTTTTTGTCTGTTTTTGTAGATATAACAGATTTAAGAAATCGTCGCGTAATGAAATGATGATTACTTGTAAAACTTCTCATCTTTAACCT